GTTCACCTCCCACCACTCATTGTCCCCAAGGCTGGCCATAGCGCGGCTGCGCATCCACCTCAACCTTCAAACAGCACGGGTGGCTGACCAGCTCTCTCTTCCTGCCTGGACCCCACACCCTCCCATTGGTTGGCTGTCCTCACCAGGGGCCACCCCCTGCAGGTCCAGGTGCTCACATCTCATGATGTCTAACAGGTGTCTCCAACAGGTGGTCAGGAGCAGTTGAGCTCACAGGGACCACACACACACTGCCCAGCCCCCCACCATCCCCACAATGTCGGAGCTCACTGTGCAGCCGCTGGGGTCCATCCACCTCACGGGCCAGCTCACCCCGCGTGGCCCGGTCCTTGAGTTCCGGCTCCTAGTTCCTGAGCACCTAGCTTCCTTGACTGCTAAATGGGGTCGGGGAGCTGACATCACTGGGAAATGACGATGGTCTAGCTGGACTGGACACTGTGGGCCAGGACCCTGCCAGGCTAGGAGCCCCGATGTCAGCCGCCTGTGTTTCTGGCTCTGGATGGACACACCAGGGCCCGGGCCCAGCACTGTCTCCTGGCCCCATGCCTGTGTGATTAACAATCTGATGAGAATGGGCCCAGCTGGCACTTCTTGGCGCTGAATGGGCACTCAGCTCACTGGGCTTCTACTAGATTCGGTATTTGTCTGGTGAGCTGGCTGTGCCAGGCCTGGGGAGCCCTTACCGCTGCCACCCTGCACACACAGCACCCCAAGACCCTCCTAGCCTGTCCCCTCAGATGGGTCTCCCTGCTGGTGAAGTCAGATGTGTAGGCTGGCATGCAGTGGCCGGACCACTCCCCGTGGAGCCCTGGAGACCCCAGCTCACTGTTAATGGAACAGATTCAGGATACAGTTCTGGGGGCACAAACAATGAGCACAGCTGCTGATCAAAAGGTTGGTGGTTCAAATCCACCCAGAGACCCCTTGGAAGAAATGCCTGGTGATCTGAAAAACTCAGTCATTGAGACCCCGTGGAGCACAGAGCCACCCTGGCACGTGTGGGGTCACATGAGCTGACTGGATGGCCCCTGGGCTTCCGCAAGCTGGATGGCAGGGGCCAGTGTCCACCCGTGAGCAGGCATGGTCCCCACAGCAGCCCCACTAGGACCCTGGGGTGAGAGCAGGGAGCAGCCATCGTTGTACAAAGGACTTCAGGAGGTTCATAGAAAAATCCCATGATCTCTGAATTCCATCTTTCCCCCAAAGTTTGTGACGCCCATTGTGCCAATTGGGGAGTTGGCTCAGGACCGGGCAGTGTTTTGTTCTGTTGAGCATAGGGTCGCTATGAGTCGGTACAATTTGATGGCACCTAACAACCACCACCACCACAATATTGTACAAGGTGGGTGTGAACCTAAGAGAAAGGGAGACATGTGTTAAGGGTGAACGGGGGTTATCTCAGAGGGGTGTGTATTTCTGTGTGCATGTGTGGTGTGTATATGTGTGTATATGTGTGTGTCTGTGATGCTATGTATGTATGAATGTATGTACATGTGTGAATGTTTGTGTTTGCATGTAAGTCTTGTGTACACATGTGAATGTGTTTATGCTCTGTGTACATATGCAAATGTCTCTGTGTACATGTGAGTGTCTTGTGTACATGTGTGGTCACCTGTGTGTACATGTGTGAATGTCTTGTATACATGTGTGAACATCTATATGTACGCGTGTGACTCTGTGTGCACATGTGAATGTCTGTGTGTTGGTGTGTGTGGTGTGTGGTGTCTGTGTATGTTTGTGAGTATATACGTTTGTGTATGTGTGTATGTCTGTGTGTTGGTGTGTGCGGTAAGATGTATTATCTGTGTATTGCATAGACCACTGCCACTCTTGGTCTGCCTGCACCCCTACTCCCGCAGGCCACGGGGCTCAGCTGAGGGAGTCCCCAGAACCCCACTCCTGATGCACTCCCAAACACTAGCATGAAGCCGGCTAGAGAGCAGCCCGACTCCATGCTGAGGAAAGAGCGCCTTTCCTGTCCCTGGGCAGGTTTACTAAACAGGAGGGCAGCCGGTCCAGTGGCAGGAAAATGCCTCCTTGTGGAAAGAGCCTCGGGGGACAAAGGCTGCTGGTCAGCTGCCTGGAGCAGAGTGGCCCCTCTTGTCCTCAGAGCCCACTCCTTCGCTGCAGCCTCATTGGTCCAGCAAATGTGTAAGCGTTTTGAAGCGAGTCTATGCTCTCTTCTCTCCCCTGGAAAGTAAACCTTTACCCGGAATGAGAGTGAGAAACAGAGCAAAGCTCCCATATAATGCAACAACTGCAGGTTCTAACGGGTCACGAGTCCTCGGCAACTACACTGACGAGACAAAACAGCATCAGGGGCGCAGAAACCTCACTGGATTTCTGCTCCCACGCCCTTTAGGTCTCCCTGGGTCTTTGCCCCTGATATGGTCAACCAACCAGTGTTTCAGGGACCCTCGCCTGACTTCTGAAGGAAGTCTGCCACCTCCAATGATACCAAATGTGTCAGGTCCCTGCCATGACCATAACACAGAATGTGGCATGCAACCTCCTCTCAGTGGTCAGAAACTGACCCCTATGAGTCCCCAGCCAGATGGCTTGCAAGGCCCCATTTTCAGCACATGGGGAGCTATTTAATATTTTTGTAATAAGGTAGACACAGCCAGAATGCTCCTCACAAGTGAGCATGTTTCACGTACTTTGAACCTGTTACCAGAAGAGTCCGGGCCCTAGAGAAGGACATCATGCTTGCTAACGGGTCACCCCTAACGAGATGGACTGGTACAGTGGCAGCAGTGATGGGCTCAAATGTGACACTTGTGCAGATGAGACAGGATTGGGGAGGGTTTCATTCTGACTCAGAACAGACTCAAGAGCACTTCACAACAACATCAAAAATGTGGACGCCGACAAGACCCATTTAGTCTTTGTTAAAAGCATCACAAATGATTTATTGATTTTAAAAAGGAAAAATAAGAAAGATTGCATTGCATCATTGTTATGTGCCAATACCAAGTGTGCGCCCCACCTGGTCCAATGGGACGCCGGGGTCCCGCCCCCAGGGACCTATATATACCTGTCCATCCAATAGAGAGAGCCTCCGGTTTATAGTCAGATACACCCACAGACCTGTGTGTGGCTCTGTACACTTACAGGGACGGACACACCTAAGGTGGCAGTAGATGCCACCATTATCTCAGGGTTTGGGGCCTACCCCCCCCGAATGCTCTTAATAGTAATAATAACATAAGATACCAGAAAAAAACACAAATAACTAAGGGGAAAGCTACCCACACTGCTGAAAGAATTGAGTGGTCAGGAAGGCCAGAGACCTGAACTGGTCACCCACCCACAGGCACTGGTGAGCTAAAGGGGAGGGGGCTGTTTCTAGAAGGTTCTATGCTGACCTCAGACGTGTGTCTGTCCCTCATGGGCAGGTGGGCTTCTGGAGGACTGGGAGGCTGAGTAGAGGGTCTTTGGAGACCACAAGCAGGTGGGTGGGGGCAGTTGTGAAGACCCCAGAGACCCACAGCCACGTCTTGTCTCCACTCCCGATGGCACGCCCCATGAGCATAGGGCAGTTTGCAGGGAGACCTGGGAGGGTGATCAGGATCCCTTGGCAGGTGGGGAGAGAGATGTAAGGGCACCGGTTTGGAGTCCCATTGGTGGGTGGTAGGAGGTACTGAGCTGGGGACTTATGCAAATACGAATTAACCTCCAGGGTGGAGTCAGACCCCGGGTCTGCCTGCTACGACATGGCAGCGTTCCTTACTAGGGAGCTGGGTATTGACCCAGCTGAACCCCAGTACCGTGCACCAGCATCTGAGCCTCCATCCCAGAAGAGAAGGGGGTGATTCCTTCCCCTTTCAAGACAAAGCTGAGAAGCTCCACACCACACCTACATACGTGCTTTGTGATCCCTGTGAATGGGGATCCACAGAAGACACCCAACTACAATGCAAGTCTAGCGTCAATTTAAGCTAGCGTCCCTGATTTCAGGTTGGGGGGGGCTGTCAAAGCGGAGCCTGGCAGGGAAGCAGAGAACATGCCCTATGCCCACCCCCATCTCTGGGCCTCCGTTTCCCCATCTTCAGAATGAGGGGTGTGTTCTCTGACGTGTGTGAGCAGATCTGACATTCTAGACTGCTCCTGACTTGGCTCCGGGGTGGGGGTGGGGGGTGGGAAGGGGGGTCTCAAGGCTGTAAGGAAGCGCAGGACACTGGATGTCTCTGGAGTCCCGAACCTGTTCTCCCCAGTGTAGGAGCCTCTAGAAGGAAACGGTCTACGGCGGGCGCCACCTGCTGGCAGCAGTGTGACGTGCAGGCAGAACCACCTTGGGGAAACCAGGTTGGGGTCGGGGGTCTCCTCTGCGCCCCCGGAAGAAGGGGTTGTGCCTGGAGAGGCCATGAAGAAGGAAGCCCTGGGCGTTCTGGAAAGGGGTTCGCTGAGAATGAGGCTCTGACATGGCTGCCGCCTGACCTTGCAAATAGCACTTCAAAACCTCAAGCCCCAAACAGCCCCTAGAGAGGCGTTTACACATCTGCAGATTAAATAGAGGAGGGGCAGGTGCACGTGGGTGGCGCTGAGGGGCCAGGCAGAGGGCCTGGATACCCCCTCCCCCACAGAGGGACAGCGGGGGCAGAAGCTGCCTTCTGGGGAGCAGGGGGCGTCGACGAGGACAAGAACAGTGTCCCCCTGTGGCCTGGAGTAGCAGAGCAGGAACTTGGGACACCCAATACCCCCGGGACTCCAGGGCGAACCCAGTCTCAGCTATGCGAGGTCAGGGCTGCAGGGGCCGGCGGTGGGGCCAGGGTCAGCTGTCTGGCATCTGGCCTGTCCAGGGTGTCCAGCATTTGGGTGGTGGAGTGTCTGAGTGTCATGGGCTGGCAGCTCCCAGCCCTTCCTGTGAACGTCTGCCCTTAGTGAGGGGCCAGCTGGAAGAGGTGGTGTCCGCGGTGGTCCGGCAGCCCCCACGAGGAAGGAAACAGGAGAATCCGGGAGGGTGTGCGGCGGAGGCGGCATCAGCTCACCACATAGCTGTGCATCTCCCGTGAGTTGACACTCAGGACCACGCCCGAGTGGTTGCCTAGGGCAGAGGAGAAGCTCCCTCAGTACCACACCCGCACTGTCCACCGTCAGTCCTGCAGGCAGCTGGGCTCAGTGTGGGTGGGTGGGTGTCTCTGTGTCTCCAGGTGATGATGTGATATAAGCTAATCACAATCCATGATGGAATGTGATATGTAATACAACGTAATCACATACCATGATGGGATGTAATCACACTCCTTGATGGGATGTTATATGTAATACAACGTAATCACAATCCATGATGGAATGTCATATGTAATACAACGTAATCACATACCGTGATGGGATGTAATCACACTCCTTGATGGGATGTTATATGTAATACAACGTAATCACAATCCATGATGGAATGTCATATGTAATACAACGTAATCACACTGCGTGATGGAATGTTATATGTAATACAACGTAATCACACTGCGTGATGGAATGTTATATGTAATACAACGCAATCACAACATAGAAGGTCATTACAATACATGTGTGATGGAATGTATTGTAATGACTACTATCATGTAATTGTAATTGTGGTGCAGTGACTTATTTAATGTCTCTTCAAGCTACAGTCTTGGTAAATTCCCACCAAATAACTTTTCTTGATGGGTCTGGGTAAGGCAATGTGGTGGAGGAGACGATTCAGTTGTGAATGATTGGTAGGTAACAGGGTTAATTGTGAAAACTTGGGACTCTAACTTGGCCTTAAAATGAGCTATCTCAGAAACAGGAAGGATAGTGGTTCTCACCACCATCAAAGATGAACTGCCAGAAGTGGAACACGTCCTTTGGACCCTGAGACCCCTACACACTGAACCTCCTGGACCCAGGGACAGGAAGCTGTAACACTGGGGGAGGGGCAGCACCAGACCCCAGAGCCAGGCCATGAGGCAGAGCGGCGGACGCCCCAGCCCCCGGATCTAGTGAAGTTGAGGGGCTTTAGACAGGAGGCTTGTTTGCAGAATGGGGTACCTCCAGGTACTTAATTGGATCCACAGAGTTAGAGCTGACCCACAGAGTTAGAGCCAAGTGTTTTCAGGCTGGAGCGGTGTGTTCTCTGGGCATTGGTCAGCTTCCCTGAAAGAGCTTTGCAACACTGCTCAGGCAGAGAGTCTTAGCTATGGGCTCTGCCGAGGAGAGGCGGTCCTGACTCAGTATTTCTGACCTGTTCACATCCCTGATAGCCCCATCACTGTGAGCATGCTGTCTGGGTTCTGTGTGGTGACAGCAATGGACTATTGAACCCGCTGAGAAGGCGCGAGTGGGGTAGATGGGCTAGAGTTCAGTTTCTGCAATTCATCCCTTTCCACAATGTTGTTGTTGTTGTTATTGTCAAGTACCGTTGAGTCAGTTCTGACTCAGAGTGATCCAGTACAGATGTTTCCGAGGAGAAGCTGATGAATCAGAACCACCAATCTTGTGGTTCAAACTGACGCTGCAGTCCTGTGCTTATCCTACGACACCACACCAGAGCTCCATAATGTAACCTAACTTAAATTGTGGTGTAATTAACTCCCATGATGTCATTGAATGTGATGTAATGTAGTTCCCCGTATAACGTGCCTACGGAAGGAAGGAAGGAAGGAAGGAAGGAAGGAAGGAAGACGGTAGAAGAATGGATGCATTTCAGTTATGGTGTTGGAGAAGAATCCTGCTGTGGCACTGTGGGCTAATGCACTGGCTTGCAAAGTTGGTTTTGAACTGCAACGTTGGTGGTTCAAGCTCACCTTGGAAAACCTATACAGAGTTGCAATGAGTCAGAACCAACTCCACAGAACAACACAACAACAACAACAAAAACATAGACTGCCAGAAAACAAGCTAATCTGTGTACTAGAAGCAAAGCCAAAATGCTCCCTAGAAGCCAGGATGGCCAGACTTTGTCTCTCATACTTAGGATGTGTTATCAGGAGGGACCAGACCCTGGAGAGCGGCATCATGCTCGGGAAAGTGGAGGGTCAGAACAAAGAGGGAGACCCCCAACGAGATGGATCAGCAACAGCAACGGGTTCAAGTGTAGCAGCAGCTGTGAGGATGGTGCGGCACTGGGCAGTGTCTCTGTTGTACTTAGATCGCTATAGGTTGGAACTGACTTGATGGCACCTAACAACAAGAAGTAACACACATTATACTAACACAGGTGAGGGGTGTGTGGTTGGTAAAAAAAAAAAAAAAAAAGGGCAATGTGAGCGTTATTTGCATAAAAACACAGTATTG